GAGCGAAACGGCGCTGCGAAAGAGCGAGCAGGAGAACCGGACGGAGGTCGGTGTCGGCACTGTCGGCCGACCGGCAAACGCGAATACAAACACTCGATAGTAACGCGTAGCCGCGTGGTGAATGAAGCCTGTGGCCTACTACCCCTACCCCTCCGGCTAACCCTTTCAGTTCGTACGTCACCTCCCCACCTCTCCCGTCTCCGCTCTTGCTCTACTATTCCAGTCGATCGTCCCTTCTCTCTTCTCTTTCCAACCCACCGCCGCTTCTCCCACTCTTTCTTTCGCCTTCCTAAACTCCTCCGCTCTGTCCCACCGCGCACCGCCGCACACGCTATACGCGTATTCGTCTTTCTCCTTCTACGTTTCGCTCGCTCATTGACGCGCGCGGCAGACAGGCCGCGTCGCGACGACACGACGGATCAAACGGTCGAGAAATCGCCCGTTTCCGCTTACGTTTCGTTCCAACAAAATATACCTAACCTTCCCGTTACCCAGCTCGAGTAACGTTTCACGAGGTAAATCTTCGATACTCGGACGAAACGAGGAAACTAAGAAATACGTCGAGATTCCCGTTTCGAGGAGAAGCATCGACACGCCAGCGACGTAAACGGTCGTCGAGAGGAGTCGTCGGGGCCCGGTGATTCTCGCGACGTGTCGCGAATCGAAAGATTCGGCGCCAGAGCTGATCATCGAGGTTGATCAAGCGGAATCGATTTCAAGTGGAAAGTTCGTCTGACGCGAACAATTGGTAGTTTGGTCGTTATCGTCGCGACGCGACGCGAGAAACGGAGCGGAGAGAGTGGGACACGCGGAGATTCAATCGAGCGGATCGCTCGGTACCAGGGCGCGTGCTACCGCGTATACGGCCCGTCGGTGACCCCTTCATACGCGATAAATCAATTATCGCTCGTTACGGAGAAAAATGCACCTTCGATCGAATCACGTTACTTAACCCGAGTGTCATGGTAACCAGAACGACGCGACGGTACGTTGCGAGCACGCGTCCGCCCGATCGGATGTTTCGTTTTCGAACTGGATAAACTGCCACGGTGCTCTATTCTCCGCGTTAATCCTAGAGTATCGTATAGACGATAACCGAGCGGTTGTCTCGTTGCTCGACGCGAATAACGTTTCCTTTTCTGCGAAGGGAATAGAAATGATGGGATCCGAAGGAAAACGTTCGACGACGGTCTTGTCTGTTCTTGGTACGACGTTGGGCGAAACGGGTCGCGACTTCACGGACTAACGATACTAATATTAGATTCTCGCTTCGACTCTACAACGTAAAACGGGACGATACCAGAAATAAGGCAATTATTTCCTTTCGTTGCTTTCGCTTTCGTTCTCCACGATAGACACCTAATACGTATAATCGAAGTATCCAAATAATAATATACGGATCGTAACGGAGGCGTACGGATTTCCGAATTCCATCGCGACGACGACGCCGACGACGATGACGAACGTCATCGATAAAGATGACGAGTTCATCGAGGCATGCCTGGTCTATTTTTAGAGCGTGATATATACGTGGCTGGTTCACTGGCCAAGCTCGTTAACGCGTCATAGACCAACCACTTGAACGCGAAAATTAAAGTTAATTTAAAATCCGATGAATTGAATTTTCAAGGGGGGATCTCCTCGTTCCAGATTTCTGATATGTCGTCGATTCGATATCGTAGCCGAATACATCGTGTATCGAATGATCGAAGAAACGCGCTTTTTTGATTGCAGGATGCCCGCTGAACGACGCAGAACCGGAAGAGCCTAACGTACGAAGAAACTTGGTCCTGTCTGCGGTTCGCCCTGTCTCGCGAATCGATTCGTCTCGCAAATGACCGTGAAACCGACGGAAAAGCACAAACGGTTTAAGAAAAGACGCCGCTAGACGATCGAAAGAATACGATGTCGTGGCTGAGGTGAAACACCGTGAGTCGCGAGATCGGTACACGGGAGAAGGAAGATAACGACGCGATCCGTTATCGCGTGGTCGTGACACGACCGTGGCGAGAAGACGAACGATAGAAAAAACTGCCACGGATCGCGCGGTGCCGACATCGAAGAATATTCGACGCTAGTCTTCGTTCGCTCGGAGCGAGAAATCGCGAATCACGAAGGGAAAGTCGATGGAGTCGTTCGAGCCATCGATCGGTCGATATCGATTTCGCGACTCGAACGACTGATATTCGGTTCGCGGACCGTCTCGGACACGAGGAGATGACCGCACCGGAACACCTCGCGAGTTTTCCATCGACGAACGAAAGAGAACAGGATCGCGTCCTTTTCGCGCGTTTTCGAAGCAAAATCGTCAGCCATCGTAGAGAACGAACGAAAAGTCCGAGCAAAACTCGAAGCGTCGAAAGAGGCTCGTGATCGTTCTGGCAAGAATCGCGGTCGCG